TCGAAGCAGCCCATGAACAGTAAAGGAAAAAAAAAATCGGGATTTATGTGTTTAAAAACACAGATTTCAGCCTTTACTCTCATTTCTCTCATTCCACTCTCAACCCACTTCTCTTAGGACTCTAGAGGAAGAGAGAAGGATAAAACACAAGATCAAGAGGAGATCTATACTTCAAAGAAGATCAAATCTTCATCTTCTTCACACTAAACCTAGGTTTTTAAGAACATTGAGGTAGGGTTTTCTTCCATCCTTGTCCATTGATGTTAGGGTTATTATACATGTAGAATTTGGCTCTTAATAGTATGTATTTGTTATGGGTTCCTTGTTCCTTGGTATGTTTACAAACATTCCCATGATTTGAACAAAATGATGGTTGGAAATCCATCAAACTCTAGTTTTTGGGGGAAATATGGATTTTTCTCTATATCTTCACATCATCTTGATTTCGAAAATTCTAGAACTTTGTGTTGGGTAGTAAAATGATTGTATTGATGATCTCATGCTTATTTCCTTTAAACTTGTCTCTTGTTACATGATTTGCGAAATGGGTATATTTTCTTAAATTGTTCTATTATGTATCTTGCTTGTGAAAATTTGGGGAAACATCATGGAATTTGCTTGTATATGAGGTTGAGTATATTGTTGGTATGTCACTCTTGTGTATGGTGTTGTGAGGGACTTGGATTACCTTCGAAAACTGCCGTAGAGCATTAGAGGTTAGTCTATCCCAATGGGGGGTGAGATGGTTGCCTAATGCTCGTAGTGGATCACTGTGGTGACAGTGACCACTATTGTTCACGGATACCGGGGAAAAGGGTTAGTATACTAGACACCTTGGAAGGATCTCGTCAAGGCCGTATGAGACGGTACATGCCCTTCCTAAATTGGTCTGTGATTGTTAGTGGAAATGGGTGAACGAGGTAGAATCGTCGGGTAGATTCATGAGAAGCGACAACCTACTTGAGTGGTACCAAATAGAAATTTTTGTTCATTGTACCAAATATTATTTTTCCAAGAGTTTCGGGTAGTATGGGATGCCGCGATACCTTGTGGAAATGGTGTATGGTGGAGTGGATTATGTTGGAAATTGTTTGTCAATTAAACGTGATTTTATTCTCGTTCAAGTCCTTATTATTGTACAAACTTGAGATCTCCTTTAAAATGTCCTTACTTTACTTTAAAATTCATTTATATGTATGTGCGAAACGTGACCTACCTGTTTTACTTGATTTCAAAACCTTGAATGGGTTTGGAAGGATCCTCCTACAGAGCCTTGTGCTCACCCCCTACTTCCCCACCTTTCAAATTTTGCCTTTGACGAGGAGCTGAGAGTTGAGGGGTCCGACATATTTGGAGACTCCAATAGAAGGGAGCGTGGATCCCGAGGTGGATGCTTAGAGCGACCCCCCTTTCTTTTGTTATAGACTTGGATAATCTTTTGGGAGAATTGTATAGCCTAGTTTTTATTTTATAAATTCCGCTGTGTATTATAGTACTTTTGTGGGAATGTAAAGGCCATAACTTGGCCTATTCTTTTGGGATAACATGTAAATTGGATGGATTGATTTTATGGTAGTTAAATGGACCCGGTGTGGTCATTACAGTAGAATTGCACAGGTTGTGTTTTGGGTAGAACTCCCCGAACAGAGGAGACTCTGCCCAAATTTTGTTAAAATATGAATGGTGAATGAATGAAACTTTCGTCATGATGGATTTACTTAATGCTCTTATGCGATGAATGATTTTTAGAATGTAATGTCACCCAAGAGGGTTTTTGGGGCGTTACATTACTGATAAGCTGCCTCAATCTGTTAGGAGACGATTATATAATTTAAGTCTCGCCTACACATGAGGGGCATCTCACACAATCGAGCACATCTTTTATCACTCTCATTTCTCTCATATAGCTTGTACATCACTTGAGCTCTTATGGCTCTCATCTGAGCTCTCATTCCTCTCACCTAATTTCTTTACACTCCTACAACAATAAAACACTTAGCCTATCCTAGCCCCTCACAATAGAGTAGATCACTTTAACTGAATCACTTATATTGTGTGTTGCTTGTGTTGAGTTTTCTTTCTCTATTTTATTATCTGCATTAATTACTTGACAAGTAGAGTGCAAAATCAATTTGTGCATTATCAAATAATATGTGCATAAGCATGATCCGTGCTAGACATGTATTTATTGAATCTGCTGAAAATGCACACATTAATATGATTCTTCTTTTGTAATATAATCGATATGGATTTTGGTAAAGGCAAAGTACCTCAGAGGACCTCGAGCAGGAGGCATGTTCAGTGCAATAAACCCACTGGGGCAGATTGTTGCAATGCCTTCTCCAGTTTTAAGAATATATTGTGGAAGCAAAGCAAGCAAGCATATGAGAGAGCAAGAAATCCGAGGAAGAAGAAGATAAGAAAAACCGAGAGTTCAAGTCATGGAGAGTTCATCCTTGTGTAAGAGTCGAGCTAATCTCCTTTGTATTATTCTAATTGTATTTGATGTCCCCGAAGGAACGCAGCGGTTTGGTTTTGTGTCGGGCTTGCCGGTTTTGAAACCAAATTGCAACTTGGCGAGGCTGCAAGCCAATTTCCTTAGCAAGCTGGGCCTTCCTCTCTGGTTCAATTCTGTTTTCCACCTCAAAACTCTTTTTCAAGAAACTGAACTTGATCGGTAGTAAGTCGCCTTTTGTTTTCGGGAGATGAAAGCATCCATTATTTCCATTTTCTCCTTTACCAAGACGGTGAACAATGACTTACTAGTCACATTTTCTTTTGGAGAATCTTGGAAATTAACCATGGGTGCAGAACCTGAAACAGAGTCACTTGGGCATATGACAGTATATAATTTATGATATGGATAGTAGCCATATTAATTGCAAATATTTTCATGTGGGTATCCAATTTAATCAAATGTTCGCTACTAAGAGACATGGATTGAATCATTACATTAATGTTCTCTAATTAAAATTTTCGCTTTCTGTATAGAGCTATTGAAATTGAAACCAGTAAAGCTAGAAAATCTTTTTGGACACAGTACGAACACTACTCATCAAGCACAAGAAGTCACATAGGAAGAGTCTTCTAAGAAATTTACCTCTCCTATGTTTTCGTTACTCCTCTAAGAATTTACCTCACCACCCATAATTTCAGCTCGAATTTGTCCAAAAATGAGATTTACTTTAATGCATTGCAACCAAGTCGAAGAAATAAACTGGAAACCAGTTACTAAATAAATTATGTGGGGGAAGTGAGAGAGAGAAAGAGAGACTATATCCTTCACTTCCGGTCACTGGTCGAGTATGAGTCTATGAACTCTGTACAACGTTGATCAACAGGTGCTGTGATCAACTTTGATCAACCGAAATATGCCGACGTTGAGCCAAAAAATACATCTTTTACCGGCCCTTATAACAAAGGTCGGCTAATAATGCCGGGCAAAGTTAATTTTCTTGTAGTGCACGCCACTATTCTCTCTTCCTCTGTCACCCAGAAAAATTCTAAATTTAACATCCAACAAAAACAACAATGTTGCTTTTGCAATGCTTAGAAGTGATAAGGTTCATAGTGAATCACACAGCAAAAGAAAAAAAAAATTAGAAGAAAATGAAAACAAAGAATAAAAACAATAGAGAGAGGCAAATGAATTGGCTAATAATGCATATCCATACTTAAAAGGCAAAGCAGAGACTAGTTGGCTGTCACTGCTCATTTCTTGATGAGAAAAAGCTAGAACTTTATTAATATCAGGACACAGTGACCAAAAGCACAATAACCCTAAATGAATATAGGTACATCAGCTAAGGTTCAAGACAGAAAAAACTCAGCAGAGATGCTGTGCCTCAAACTCTGGCAGCAAAATAGCATCAGCAAAACATACACACGAAGAAAATAGGAACCGCTACAAATACTACCAAACTTGCAACAACAAAACTAAATCAAAAAACCTTCCGAAAAAAAAAAAAAACACTACATCAGCAAACCTGAAGAGCATACATATGTGGTAGATCTGTAAAAGAAAAAGAAACAACAGCTGATTGAAGAGGGAGCTAGACATAACACAGTGACCAATATCTGTCTTGTGGAGTCACGCGCAATATCTTTACCATCAGCCATAAGGATAACAATCAATTTTTGTTGGAGTGTGAATCCATTCATGTAGCATTTCGAAGTTGTGCTGATGAACCTTTATGGTTCATATAATCTGCTTGAGGTTCAACCAAGTTGTTTTTGCCAGAAATGCCATTTGTTTTGCTGTAACATCGCCAAACATTGGAATGGCTTTATAGCTTATGGCTTCTCAAACACAATGTATTGACAAGTTTTACTACAACCCGTGTCTTCGACATGAAAAGATGATGTCCTAACCACTAAACAAAAGAGACCAAAAAGTCATTCTTCATATATCCCAGAATAGAAGTGGTTTGTTTGGTTCCTATACACAATTCAATCTTTCCCCACCGACCTAGCAACACACCATCCACACCCCTTCTCTTTCTCTGATCATAAAGCCCCCTGATTCTGCAACAATTTCCAATGGTATAAAGTATAAAACTCAAACACAACCACTTATCCCAACTGCAAAGTAGTGACACAAACATACTTTTAGGGATGATGCCTCAGAGCCCAAAAAGCTACAAAAAATAAAATGCAAAAAATAAATTTCTACCAAATCTTATTCCAAAAACTTGGTCTTGAATGAGTGGTTAATCAGGCTTGTCACACAAAGCAAAACAATTGCAGCACAAAACAACATCAAAATACAAACACAGCAAGAGTTTGATCACTGGAGTTCATTCAGAGGTTGATATATGCACCCAGCAAAAGTTGTTAATCACATAAAAACTACCAACTCATCTAGTAAATAAGCACTTAATTAGAGAACCAAAACACAGTAAAAAGAGAAATAAAGCAATCAAAGAAGATAAAGGAACACCAAAGATTTTACTTTTTTTTTTCCTCTTCTTCAGAAGCACATCTTTAGGCACATTGGATGTTGGCTAATTTTCCAGACAAAGGCGCAGGTACAGTTTACTGTTTTAGAGTTTTGCACATTTTTTAAGTTGATTTTGAATAATATGAAGCCAAAATAAGAAATGGGCTAAAATCAAGGCCCAGAATAAATGAAATACCAATATATGATGTCCACAAAACATGCAATTCAACTACTTCTGAAGTATAAAATAAAACGGGGGAAATATGACAACTGTTGCAACTTAAAGCAGAGAGAAATGGTTGCTGAGACCTTGGCATAAATGTTACTTCACAAACACAGTTTACTGCCGGAGTTTTATCAATCGAGGTTCGCGCATCATGTCTTTTGAGGAGAAAATGAANGTTTAACTAACTATAGACTAGGCTTCTTTAGCTTTTGAATTTTCTCCATCATATACATTCCCTTTCTTGCAAACATACCCACCATTATCTTCCCCATTAGACCACTCCCAACGGTGATTCATTTCACCTCCTTGTAGTGGTAGCTTCCCCACCCTGTTCCCCTGTTTCTTGTTTANAACATCAACAGAGACACTGCCTCAAAGTAAGACAACATAGGATTTGGGAGAGAGATAATGCAGCTTTGAGAAGGAGATGAGACAGTATTCAATGCAAATAAGGCAAGCAAAGAACACAGAGGAATACCAAAGATTCTATGTGGCTATTTTCTATCTATCCAGAACGTTAAGTCACATTCCTTGTGGATTTGCATTTAGCCAACAGGTAGCCCTGCTAGCAAGTTTTTAATGCATCTTTTAGCTCATACAGTATGCTAACAGTCGTGGTCAATCATCTTTACAGTGAAGCATAAGCATAACAATCCATTTCGGTTGCAGTGTGAATCAATTCCTGTAGCATTTCAATATTGTTCTAATGAATCCTTATGGTTCATATAATTTGCTTGATGTTCCTCCAGGTGTTCGAGTGATTTCCGAGCATTTTGTGTTTTGCTAGAAATACCATTTTGTTTTTAGCATTTTTGTGTTGGCTAGAAATACCCATTTGGTAGGCTTTCACCACGCCAAACATTTGAATTTCTTTATAGATATGGATTCTTAAGCACATTATATCAACATAATTCTACCCCGTGTATCTAGAAGAATTTTGTTACCTAATAAAAAACTCAAACTGAATGACAGATCTCAACAAGAAGGCAGTGATACAAACATACTTCTAAGGATGATGCCTCAAAGCCCAGAAAGCCACCAAAGAAATTTGAAAAAATAAACCAAATCCAGGAATCTTATCTTAAAATTGGTCATGAATTTGTGATTTATAAGGCTTGTCACATAAAGCAAAACAATAACAACGCAACTGCATCAAAACAGAATCAGCAAGAAAATAAGGACCATTAGCAAATCAGAAAACTGGCCAGCAAACATCTACAACAGAAGAAGAAAGAATGACTGATTACCAGGGAACAAGAGAAACGGAGTCAGTAACCCTTGCAGAGGATTTTTGACTTCAATTGCACTTTATTGATGAGAAACGAAAGAACTTTATTAATATTAGGAATTTCCTGACAGGAAACATTGGTTCAAAGCAGAACAAGGCCTATAGGCTAAAGTTCAATAAAAAAAGACACTGCCTCAAACAGTGGCAGCAAAACAATATCAGCAAACTAAAACTGCATCAAAACAGAAACAAAAATAAAATATAACTGTTACCCGCATTACCAAAGTTCCAACAAAACTTGCCACCTTTTTATGTACCACAAGATTATTAGTCACTCGTTGGATTTATTCGGGTATCAAAACACCAGAAAACATCTATAGCATACTAAACAGAACCGAACACACAATAATGGCTGATCTCAGTGACTGGACTTTTGCACTACCACTAGAAGCTTACCAACCAACCTACAGTACCAGTCTAATTGATCAAAAAAAATCGTTTAGATGTTGATCTGCACTCCTACCAATAGAGGTGGACCACAAATATAACTACCAATTCATCTAGCAAATAAACAGTTAATTAGGGAACCAAAGCGCACAGAAAAAAGAGCAGTAAAGCAAGCAAAGAAGGCAAAGGAACACCAAAGATTTTACGTGGAAAACCCTCCAGTGTAGAGGGAAAAAACCACGACCGGCAAATCTCCACTAATTGAACTTGGAAGTACAGTGACAAGTTTTTGCACAAAGCTTGATGCATTACAATAAATTGAATCTTCAAAGCAACAAAATCCTTGACTAGGCAGCCCAGAGAATGCTTCCAAATAAATCCAAGGAAGGAGCCCAATCGTCGGCAAGACTTTTATCTTCAAGGGGAGTCCAATCATTGAATGCAACTGTTTCTTCTTTTCTCTTTCTTTTTTCCCATGTCTAGCACCTTTCTCCTGCTTCTCAAAAAAATTCATTCCTTTCTTCATCTTTTTTTTTTTTTTTTTTTTTTTCATGCTCCTCTTTTTTCTTGCTTTTTTTTTTCTTGCTCTTTTTTTTTCTTGCTTTTTTTTTTTGCCTTTTTTTTTTTTGGCTTTTCTTGAGAAGCAGATATTTGAGGAGATAGGAACCAGTATACCTGCATCGAGAAAGTTAAATAAAAATTTCTCATTGCCAAAAATCGAATTTGATGAAGAAGAATTCTCTTCTAAATAAACAAGAATCATCATGCACGTATCGACATCAACATTCCAAGAAACGTGATGAGATCCACATACCAAGAAACAAGTCCAAAGATTCTCTTTTTTGTCGATAGGACGAAGTCGAAAAATCCTCATCGATCATCATCAAGATTCAAGCATCATCGTCAAGATTCAAGCATCAAGCATCAAGCATCAAGCATCAAGCATCATCATTAAGATTTAAGCATCAAGCATGACGGTGTCACCATCTGCATCAACCATCACATAGGCACTGACAGTCGCATCCACATCGACATCAACATTCACATTCCCGTTCACATTCACGTTCGCATCCACATTCACATTCACGTTCACGTTCGCGTTGAAGTTCAGAGCCCTATTATCAACTCCCCTCCTCCTATTACGCACATAAGGATGATCATTCCCATTAACCCGAGACGGAGCCGTGGACGGGAAAGAAAAAGGCAATCGAATCACCCGAAAGCCCCTTCCAAGTAGCTCACGACGCAACTGACTGCCGTGGCCGAGATTTGCCGGATTTGGTTTGCCCAACGACACCTTGCAGCGACAAAGAGGACAAGTCTTGCTTCTCTTAAGCCAAGAAGCAATGCAGTGACGATGGAAGAAGTGGTTGCAGGGCAAGTGGTTCATCTCTTGATTCACTGCGAATTCCTCCATACAAATCGAACAACTTGATCCCGAATCCAACTTCGACAGAGAACCTGCCGTCATTCTGACGATTGGGAGCGAAGGAGGGAATCGAATTGGTGAAGAACGACGAGCAACGCCATCGATGGGGTTTGAAGCAAGATTCGTAGTGGGGCTAGGGTTAGGGTTAGGGTTTGAGGGTGTTCGACAGAGATTCGTCGGCATGATTGTTAGGGTTTGGGTTTGAAGGTTGTTCTTTCTCTCTCTCTCTTTCTGNTAGGGTTTGGGTTTGAAGGTTGTTCTTTCTCTCTCTCTTTCTCTCGTGTGTGTTTCTCTCTGGGTGGTTGGTGTTTGTCTGTTTTTGTTTTCTCTCTCAAGTCTCAACACTCTCAAGAGTGGAGTCTATTTATATGTAGAGTCTTACTTCTTCCATCCAGAAAAGAAGTCATGTAGTGGTAGAGTTGTTTTCGGATCATTCCATGCCGCCTCGCCTTCATAATCTGCCTTTTTACCAATCTCCTTAATTAGATATAGATCACTTTCCAAAAAATTAATTAAATGTGGATCACCGGTGCATAGAATTAATTTATTTCGAAAAAATGTAATCTTACATTGAACTTTGAAAGATCGTTTGAATCTTAATTTGAATCCCTAAAGATAAAAAATTTCAATCTACACCCTCAAATATAAAAATTTATATCAATGCACACTTTAAGGTAACAATTGTCAATTTGTCGTCTAAAACTAAATAAATAAATTATTCTAAATCCTTTCGTGCTTGTTACTTAATCACCTACATCTACATTCCTTGAAAATCCAAATATGACTAAAAATATTCTCCTAATTGGACATTCAAATAATTTTATTTAGNCTTAATCACCTACATCTACATTCCTTGAGAATCCAAATATGACTAAAAATATTCTCCTAATTGGACATTCAAGTAATTTTATTTAAGTGATATATTACATTTGATATAAAGATGCAGTAGAGAACTACACCTTAATTAGGTATGGATCACCATTCACTAATACATAGAATTAATTGATTTTAAATCCATAACTCATATTTGATGAATTTAAATTGAGATATAATAATCTTTTTGATGCTATATTTATTTTTTGGGAGAATTACATTCAGACTCTCTAAGATTTGTCACTTAATCACGCAGATCTCTTGACATTTGAAATATTACACACATACTCCTAAGATTTGTATGCATGTAACACTTAGACCTTTGTTGTCAATTCCGTTAGTATATCTGTTAGTAAATTATATTCAGACCCCCTAAAATTTGTAGACGTATAATTCTTATACTCCTTAAATTTAAAATGTTATATTTAGACCATAATCAAAGATAGAATATTAAATATTTTAAATTTTATAACCAAAATTTATATTTTATTGTATCATTTATTGAAATAAAATCAAAAATAAAAATCTAATTTTTTCTTAAAAAATCTTAATCAGTATACAAGGAGTCTATTGGAATAAAATTTTAAAAAATCAAACGAGTCTAAGTCATTCAAAATAGAAAATGAATTTTACAACCAAAATTTATGTTCTATTGTATCATTTATTGAAATAAAATAAAAAATAAAAAATAAAAAATTAATTTCTTTATTAAAAAAATCATAATTGATATACAATTATACTACCTATTGAAATAAAATTAAAAAAAATCAAACAAGGGGCATCCCAATTGGATTGAATAGGACAACAACTTTCTCATTCTGAATATGTAAAATCAGAATTTCGATCAAATCATACATCGCAATAAACTAGGTCTTCTAATTCTTTAAGAGATTTATCTAAAAGATTCACAAATATAACTAGGAAGATGTTTTAAATACCACACATGGGTTTATGGGCATGTGAATTTGATGTAACCCATTTGATATCTTCGTATCCGAGAATTAGTAATGGACACAATATCTTCTAACTTTAATTAGGGTAACTTGGTCGTTTAAATGACCAAATTAAATTCTAATAAATAGTATAATTATATACTAATTTTGATTTTTTTTAAAAAAATTAGATTTTTATTTTTAATTTTATTTCAATAAATGTTATAATAGAATATAAATTTTAGTTATAAAGTTTAAAATATTTGATTGAAGTATTTTTTATCTAAGTATAACATTTTAAACTTGAGAGGTCTAAGTATTACACACTTACATACTTAAGGGGGTTTGAGTGTAATTTACTAATGGACATTGCCGACAAGAGTCTAAGTATTACGCACTTACAAACCTCAAGGGGTCTATATGTAATATTTTAAATTCAGATATACTATTTTCCGATGCAATATTTAATTGTATTTTATAATTATATGATGAAATTAAGTAAAAATTCAAATGTAATTTTTACAAGTTTAAGTTATTCAAGTTTTTAATTATTAACAAATTTGAATAGAATTTGGTAGGGTTATTGTCACGGTGCAGTTCATATTATTTCTCTCTATCTCTTTCCTATTTTTTTTATCTCTCAAAAACTCAGAGTTCTAAGTCTTTGTTAGAATATTTATTAAGAGAGACAATTTTTTGACAAAAAAAAAAATTATAGTATAATTTGAAATTGACACAAAATTAAATTGTTAGGGATGCCAAAATAACATGATCAGTTAACATAAATTATAAATGAATTGTGTTTAGAGTTCAACCTATGTAACAAAAAATTTATATGATGGACCTGTTTAACTAACTATAGACTAGGCTTCTTTAGCTTTTGAATTTTCTCCATCATATACATTCCCTTTCTTGCAAACATACCCACCATTATCTTCCCCATTAGACCACTCCCAACGGTGATTCATTTCACCTCCTTGTAGTGGTAGCTTCCCCACTCTGTTCCCCTGTTTCTTGTTCATCTGAGTAGCCATGTTTATTTGTGCCTGTTGTGTCCTTTGACTTCAACCTCTGTCGAGCGGAAAACGAAAATGGCAACCTGTCCAATGCTCACTCTAACCGAAGACGAAAATCGCAAAGTTTCATGTATCGGCTGATCAAGTGGAGTCATCTTCCTTCACAGTAGCTAACTAGTCCTCTGAATGGCGTAAAGCAGAGTGTTCGAAATTTTTCGCACTTCAACAAAATAGAACATGGTCTCTTGTTCCACCAATTTCGAATATGAACATTCTATCCAGCAACTGAGTTTATTGGATTAAATAGAAACCGATAGTACGGTGGAACGCTACAAAACTTGCCTTGTTGTCAATGATTTTTAACAAGAGCTTGGTTGGATTATACTGAAATGTTGAGCCTGGTGGTCAAGCATATCACCTTTTGGACTATTCTATCACAATCTCTTCTAAATGGTCAATCCGTCAACTTGACGTACAAAACGCATTTTCTCACGTTGTGCTAAATGAGGAGGTTTTTATGTGGTAACCCAAAAGATTTGAAGATCTTAATTTTCCTCATCATTTTTGCAGCTTACAAAAGAAATCCCCAATGGCATGGTTTCAACAATTTTTTGACTATCCTAAAAATCTAGTTTGTTGGAATCGAGGGTAATTTGTTTTATTTATTATCGTGATGTTGTTATTGTGTTAATTCTCGTTTATGTCGATAACATACTTTTAATTGGAAATGACTCGTCTCATCTTCAACAACTTATCCATTTTTTTTTTTTTGGCCAATACTTATCGGTGATTTGCCCAGAAAGATTTGAGTTTAATACATTATTTTCGTGGCCTAAAGACAGCTTTTTCTGTTGGAAATTTGTTCTTGTCCCAAACTTGCCATACTTTGGAGCTCCTTACCCTAGTTTTACCCATACATAGAATTGATTTTAATTCCATAACTCATTTGATGGATTTAAATCTAGAGATACTATTTTTCAGTGTAATCTTTACTTGTATTATATAATTATACGATGAATTTAAGTTAAATTTGTTGTTTCGAGAGGGGAAGATATAATGTGAAATTTTCCTCACGCTTATATACGTAAATTATATGACACTACCTAGAGGGGGTGAATAAGTTAATTAAGACCCCTGAGATTTGTCACTTAATCACTCAAATTCCCTGATATTTGAAATATTACACATAGACCTCTTGAGGTTTATACGCGCGTAACACTTAAACCCCTGTCGTCAATGTTTGTTAGTATATCATTTAGTAAATTATATTTAGACCTCCTGAAATTTGTAAGCGTGTCATACTTAGATCCCTCAATTTTAAAATGTTATACTTAAATAAAAAATACTCTAATCTAAGATAGAATATCAAATATTTTAAATTTTACAACAAAAATTCAAGTTCTATTATGATATTTATTAAAATAATATTAAAAAATAAAAAATTACTTTTTTCTTACAAAATTATAATTAGTATACAATTATACAATATATTGAAATTTAATTTGATTTTTTAAACGACCAAGTTAAACTACCAAATTACCACAATTAAAGTTAGAATATATTGTCTCAATTAAAGTTTGATCCCTTGTTTGATTTCAATAAATAATATACTTGTATACTAATTATGATTTTTTTTTAAAAATTAGATTTTTATTTTTGATTTTATTTCAATAAATGATATAATATGACATGAATTTTGGTTGTGAAATTCCTATTCTATTATGAATGACTTAGACCATTTATTTGATTTTTTATTTTTATTCCAATAGATAGTATAATTGTATACTAATTAGGATTTTTTAAGAAAAATTTGACCTTTTATTTTTGATTTTATTTCAATAATTGATAAAAATAGAACATGAATTTTGATTTTAAAATTTAAAATATTTCATCTATTATCTTTGATTTGAGTATTTTTGGTCTAATTATAGCATTTTAAATTTGAGAGATCTAATTATTATACTTTTATAAACTTCAGGAAATCTGAATGTAATTTACTAACGGATATAATGACGGACATTTGACGGCAGGGGTCCAAGTGTTATGTTCATACAAACTTTAGGGGGTCTATGTATAATATTTTAAAATATTAGGGATCTGAGTGATTAAGTGATAAACCACATGAGTCTGTATGTAATTCTCCCTAAAATTTAAGCTCAAATAGCCACTAATTTTAACTTGAATCTATCATAATTACCTCTTCACACAATGATATGAAAAT